AGCCGCCCCCGCCGCCGCGGCCTGCGCCCCCGCAGTGAGGCGGCGCGAGGCTGCGCGCGCCAACAAGAAGCTTGGGGGGGGATATCGATGTCGATCGCTTGGGGGAGGTAGCGATGGCGATCGCTTGGAGGAGGAGGAGGAGGCGGAGGAGGAGGAGGAGCAGGAGGCGCAGGAGGAGCAGGAGGAGCAGGAGCAGGAGGATGAGGAGGAGCAGGATCTGCATGGGCAGCCAGGGGGCTGCGGAGGGAGGAGGAGGAGTAGCGATGCCGATCGCGATGTGCATGGGCAGCCAGTGGGGCCGCGGGATTTGCATAGGCAGCCAGGGGGGCTCGCGATCTCGATCGCCGCGAGGAGGAGGAGGAGGATGAGGAGCAAGAGAGCGATGCCGATCGCTGGGGGAGGCGAAGCGATGTCGATCGCTTGGAAGGGGGAGGAGGCAGGAGAAGGAGGAAGAGGAGGATGACGATGATGAGGAGGAGGAGAGCGATGTCGATCGCTCGGGCGCGGGTGGGAATATGGGTGGAGCGATGGCGATCGCTCGGGCGGGCGTTGGCGACGATGGGCTCGCGATGACGGCGATTGCTCAGCCGTTTCGGCTCGCCTCGCGAGTGACGCACGGGGCGCTCGCGGCCAAGCGACGGCGCGCGCGCGCGCAGGAGGGGGCGCGTCATGGACGATCTCCCCTCGGAACCGCTGCCACCTGGGCTGGTCGGCGCGAAGCCGTCCAGTGTCCCGCTGCCGCGAGGCGGCCCGTGGCCGAATATGGCCAACGCGAAGTTCTTCAAGATGCCGTCGCCCGCCGCTTTCGTCGCGGCCACCTCCAAGGACGCGGCGCCGCCGCCGCCACCCAAGCGGCCGCGCCTCGAGGTTGCAGCCGTCGGCCGAGAGGGAGCAGGCAATGGAGGTCCAGCGTTCGTGGGAGTTCGAAAGCGCCACCGTGCGCCCTCCCACCGAGGATGAGCTGGTGGAGCTGCTCGCGTCCCTGGGCGGGGATGGGTGGAACGACTCCAGCGTCCTCAGGCGGCTCCAACAGCAGGCCGAGCTGCAGGCGTTGAGCGAGGCGGAGGCGATCTGCTTGACCGCCTTCCGCGACGGGCAGGGCGGCGAGGCGGCCCCTGAGGGTGAGCCCCCTGCGCGGTGAGGAGGCCGCGCGTGCACTGAGGACGCGGCCGCGCGCGCTGAGGAGGCCGCGCGCCCCGCCGCGCTCATCACTCTCCTCCCCCCCTCCCCCCCCTCACAGCGATCGACATCGCTCTCCTCCTCCTCCTCCTCCTCCCAAGCGATCGCGATCGCTTCATTTCCCTAAGTAACTTATAAGTATCTTATAGTGTTAGCTTAAGTAACTTAAGAACATCAACTTAAGTTACTTATAAGTATCTTAGTAAGTACCCATAAGTAGCTCATGTAAGTAGCTATGTTACTTGCGATACTTATACATAGGGTGCAACTAGCGTAAGAGCCACCATTCTCGAAGCAGTGGGCTGGGTCAGCTGACCCGGTGACCCGGTGACCCGGTGGGCTGGGTCAGCTGACCCGATGACCCGGTGACCCGGTGACCCGGTGACCCGGTGGGCTGGGTCAGCTGACCCGGTGACCCGGTGACCCGGTGGGCTGGGTCAGCTGACCCGGTGACCCGGTGACCCGGTGACCCGGCTGGGTCAGCTGACCCGTCAGTGACCCGGTGACCCGGTGACCCGGTGGGGTGGGTCAGCTGACCCGGTGACCCGGTGACCCGGTGACCCGGTGGGCTGGGTCAGCTGACCCGGTGACCCGGTGAGTGGGCCTTGGGTCAGCTGACCCGGTGACCCTGATGACCTCCGTGACCCGGTGACCCTGTACCCCTGTGGGCTGGGGTCAGCTGAACCCGTTGACCCGGTGACCCGGTGACCCAGTGGGCTGAGGTCAGCTGACCCGGTGACCCGTGACCGGTGAACCCGGTGGTCTGGGTTCAGCTGACCCGTTACCCGGTGACCCTGTGACCCCGTTTGGGGTGGGTCAGCGTTCCCGGTGACCCGGTGACCGGGTGACCGGTGACTCATTGGGCCTGGGTCAGCTGACCCGGTGACCCGGTGACCCGGTGACCCAGTGGGGTGGGTCAGCTGACCCGGTGACCCGGTGACCCGGTGGGGTGGGTCAGCTGACCCGGTGACCCGGTGACCCGGTGGGCGCGGTGGATTGGGTCAGCTGACCCGCCCTGTGACCCGGTGGGGTGGGTCAGCTGACCCGGTGACCCGGTGACCCGGTGACCCGGTGGGGTGGGTCAGCTGACCCGGTGACCCGGTGACCCAGTGACCCGGTGGGGTGGGTCAGCTGACCCGGTGACCCGGTGACCCGGTGACCCGGTGGAGTGGGTCAGCTGACCCTGTGACCCGGGATGCCAGCACGCCTTTGACCCAGTGGGCTGGGTCAGCTGACACGGTGACCCGTTGACCCTGTGCCGCGGTGGGGTGGGTCAGGTGACCCGGTGACCCGGTGCACCCCGTACCCTGGTGGGCTGGGTCATGATGACTCCGTGGACCCGGAGTGACCCGGTGGATGGGTCAGCTGACCCGGTACCCGGTGACCAGTGGGTTGCTTGGGTCAGCTTACCCGTGACCCGTGACCCGGTGACCGGTGGGCTGGGCCCGGTGGGCTTGGTCAGCTGACCTGGTGACCCGGTGACCCGTTGACCGCCGGTGGAGTGGGTCAGGCTGACCCCGTTGCCCCTGTGACCCGGTGAACCCTGGTGGGGTGGTCAAGCTGACCCGGTGACCCGGGTGACCCGGTGACGCCGGTGGTCTGGGTCCAAAATAAAAAGCTGACCCGGTGACCCGGTGACCCGGTGACCCGGTGGGCTGGGTCAGCTGACCTGGTGACCCGGTGACCCGGTGGTGTGGGTCAGCTGACCCGGTGACCCGGTGACCCGGTGACCCGGTGGGTGGGTCAGTTGACCCGGTGACCCGGTGACCCGGTGACCCGGTGGGGTGGGTCAGACCCGGTGACCCCGTCAGCTGACCCGGTGACCCGGTGACCCGGTGGGGTGGTCAGCTGACCCGGTGACCCGGTGACCAGCTGACCCGTGACCCGGTACCCGGTGGGTGGTCAGCTGACCCAGCTGACCCGGTGGGCTGGGTCGCTGACCCGGTGACCCGGTGACCCGGTGACCCGGTGGGCTGGGTCAGCTGACCCGGTGACCCGGTGACCCGGTGACCCGGTGACCCGGTGCGGTGGGTCAGCTGACCCGGTGACCCGGTGACCCGGTGGGCTGGGTCAGCTGACCCGGTGACCCGGTGACCCGGTGACCCGGTGGGGCTGGGTCAGCTGACCCGGTGACCCGGTGACCCGGTGGGTCCTGGTGACCCGGTGACCCGGTGGGTGGGCTGGGTCAGCTGACCCGGTGACCCGGTGACCCGGTGGGGTGGGTCAGCTGACCCGGTGACCCGGTGACCCGGTGGAGTGGGTCAGCTGACCCGGTGACCCGGTGACCCGGTGACCCGGTGGGGTGGGTCAGCTGACCCGGTGACCCGGTGACCCGGTGACCCGGTGGGGTGGGTCAGCTGACCCGGTGACCCGGTGACCCGGTGGGGTGGGTCAGCTGACCCGGTGACCCGGTGACCCGGTGACCCGGTGGGGTGGGTCAGCTGACCCGGTGACCCGGTGACCCGGTGACCCGGTGGGCTGGGTCAGCTGACCCGGTGACCCGGTGACCCAATTTAAAAAAAAACCTCTAGTCTGGAGGCTTCCAGATATCCCATTGTGATAGAGAGGGGGCCAGCGGCAGGGGGCGAAGCCATTACGGATAATGATGGCAACGATGGTGGTGGTGGTGATGATGATGATGATGGTGATGGTGATGGTGATGATGATGATGAGGATGATGATGATGATGATGATGATGATGATGATGATGATGATGTGAAGTCTGCAATTGGTGATGCTGATGATGCCGATGACGATGAAGGGACGATGATGATGCTGCTGCTGATGATGATGATGCTGCTACTGATGAGGATGTTGTTGTGGATGATGATGATGATGATGATGATGATGATGATGATGATGATGATAACAATGATAAGGATTTTGATGCTGTTGATGCTGCTGCTGATGATGATGCTGATGATGATGATGATGACGATGATACTGCTGCTGATTAAGATGATGCTGCTGATGGTGATGATGAGAATCATAGTGAAGACGATGATTAGGATAATGATGATGATGCTGATGATGATGATGATGATGATGATGATGATGATGATGATGATGATGATGAGAAGCTAGGCGGTGGCGCTGGGCTGCGGGCATCTTTCGAAATGCGGAGGACAAATCCTGGCCGACTGAATCGATAGCCCGTGGTCGCGTTGCCGTCGGTCGTCCCGTGCGCACGTGCTAACAGGGGGAAGGGAAGGAGCCAGCCACACGCAAGCGTGACACCTAGGCGGGAGGTGGCTTCTGGTGCGCGGCTTGCCGCTTGTGGCGTGCGATGCGACAACGGCGGCCTGCGGGCCTGGGCTTGCCTCCCCCGCCCCCCCTTAGGGGCGGCCAAGGGGGGCGGCGTCCAAGAGGGGAGGGGGCAAATCCTGGCCAGCGCCATGTGCGCGGCCCAGGGGGGGGGGGAGGGCAGGGAACGCATTGAAATAAGGAGAGGGGCCGTGAAATCTGGGAGATATCGTGGTCCCCGCCATGGTATCCCCCCCCTATTCCTCACCCCCCTCTTGGCCGCCCCCGACCCCCCTCCCCGCGGCCCCCGAAAGCCGGGCACCACAGGTCACTCTGGCGAAGGGTCGCTCTCACGTGCAGCCGAATGGATGTGCTCTGTGAGATCCGCTTGAAACCGGTGCCCAGACCCCTCCCGGGGTCCAGCCCGAGGCAGTTCCCCCCCCCGGTAACTTTTCGATGCTCCAGGGGCCCGAGAGCGGCATCCAGACGCCGAAAGCGTGGAAAACTAGCAAATCGAAGGGCCGCTCTTCCGTGTGGCCGAAAGCCATTGCCCTCCCCTGATTTCGAGGGCGGCTGGCCTTTGCAAGCTTCCGCCTCTTCTTCGTGTCTAGGTCGTCCTCGCTGTCGCCCTCCTCGTCCGGCCGAGGGAGGGAGGAGGAGGCGCAGTGGGGAAAGGAAAATGACCGTTGAGCAAGAACAGGCCATAGGGATTGCTCTTGCGCGAGCGCCAACGCCGTCTGCCTTGGGCCGCCAGTGTACACACAAATGGAATGCCCCGCGCGGGCAAGGTCACTGGAAGGGAGGAAGCAGTGACGACGTAAAAGGACCCGCTCACAGTCATGCATATCACGTCAGGCGCGCGTAACGCAATGACACCCTTGGGGCAGAAGGTCCTGAATAGTTTTGCATAATTGCGATTGGGGCCACGATGGGGGGGCACGATGGGGGGGCATGATGGAGGGACTGGGATAGGTATATGGATATAGGGTTGGGTATATACATATATATGATAAGTTTAACAGATAGGGATAAAGGCAGAGCGATAAGGATAGAGATAGGGATAGACTCTGGGAGACAACGTGTGACGATGAGATGCAATGAGAGACAATGGCAGACAAAGGCAGAAAGCTGGAGATAATGTGAAGCATGGGAGAGAACGTCGCCCGACCGATTCCGAATCTGGCACCGCACATACTGATTTCTCGGAAAAGACATCGAGCCTTTGCAGACTAGCTGTTTCGGAGACTAACAACAATGCCCATACGCATCCAACACCATCATGTACTGCCAAGCGGCCTGTACAACCAACTTGCGGCTTCCAAGTAGTTATGCGAAATGCCGATGGTAAAAATAGAACTGTGACGCATGGTTTGAAGGGAGAGTATAGAAGGGGCGGGTGGAGGAGGCGGTTGAAGGATGTCGAATAATAATGGGGCTGCCTTTGTATTTGCGTGTGTGTGTGTGTGTGTGTGTGTGTGGCAATCGACACTCTGAGCTTGAAGCCCTGGAACAAGTACTGGAATCATACCCAGCATCCCAGAACAAACAAATGACCAATGTCAGATCCAGGGACCTCGGGACCCGAATCTTCATAGCGCTGCCAGCATCTGAACGTTTGTTCCTTCCATCCGAACAGGGTTCGCGGTACTCTTGCACTTGTCATGAATGTCGCCGCTGGTGCGGACAACATGTGACGTGATCGTGTCGCCGCCAGGTGGACCTCGCGCTCCGCAGTCAAATCTGCGACTCTGCCTTCCGGGTGCACAAGCGCACAGCCATTGCGGTAACAGCTGCGCCGAAACTGACAGACCATTGCATTCAGGGGGAACGAAGGCGACGGAGCCGTCGGTCCACGGCCTTACAGATCGCATGGCCCCAGCATGGTCCGGCGATCGGCCCCGAGACACCTGCAGCTCACAGGATTCAAGACGTTTGTCAACAAGCCGCTCGCAGGACCCAGGGCGTTCCTCAACAGCACGTACATCTACTTTCATGAAAAAACAACTTCCATAGCAAACGCTCTGCCGTCCAACTCGTGAACACAAGGCTCGAACTCATGGGTTGCAACCGGAACACGAACGCAATAACAGGTTGACCTCCTGCGCAAAGACCGACATGACGACACCAGTGAGGAATCTTTTCGTATCGTTCGAACTCTGTCGCGCTGGCTCGTCCAAGTAATCCCGCATGCGTTTGCTCATCGCCACTGTTTCTGCGGACGCGCCCTTCAGGGCAATACCTCCGTGCTGCTGCGCTGGGGCCTCTCCAGAGTTCCAGCTGGCAGTCTCCGCAGGCTCGGGGTCGCCAGGCCTCGGAAGCACAGCCAGAAGCGGCACGAGCAGGAAGATCCGCCGCCGTGCCCCGAAGCACGAGCCGCAGCGTCCCCGAGTGAGGGCTGCACAGGAGGCAGGCACAGGAGGAGGAGGAGGAGGAGGAGGAGGAGGAGGAGGAGGAGGAGGAGGAGGAGGAGGAGGAGGAGGAGGAGGAGGAGGAGGAGGAGGAGGAGGAGGAGGAGGAGGCAGGCGCGCTGGACTGGAGCCCTGCCCTGCCTCCGCCGGCGCGCCGGCGGCGCGCAGCCCCGGGTCGATTGGTTGAGCCAAACGGGCCGCCGCGGCCAGGCGGGGGGCCCTGGCCACGGGCAGCCTGGGGGCCGGCGGCTGAAGGCCGCCGAGAGGGTCCTGAGCCCTCGCTCCCAAAAGGCCTCTTTCGGGCGCTCTTGGGCGCTCCTGGGATGGCCGAGTCTTGTCGCGTGCCTCTTTCGCAAGACGGGCCGAGAGGGCCCACGCCCCCCGAGATGGTCGAAGAGGGGCCCGAGTCGCCGAACGATCGGGCCCAAGACGTTTAAGGTGGCCCCAGGAGCACGTCCACGATGGCCCCGAGAAGCGATTCTCCCCTTTAATTTTGGAGGATTCGAGCGTCCTCGCTTTGTCGGGCCCTCGACGCTCCAAGGCGACCCAAGAGGCTCCCAAGATCGTTCCAAGACGGCCCCAGATGCCTCCAAGACCGTCCCAAGACGGCCCAAGAGGGCCCCAAGATGGCCCAAGAGGCCCCCAAGATGGCCCAAGGAGTCCCCCAGATGCCCCCACGAGGCACGATGCGTCCAAGATGCCCCCCACAGGCTCCCAGGAGTCATCCGAGAGGGAGCACACCACATGAGGCCCTGAGCCACAATCCAGGCTCGAGGGATCGACGTCCGCTGGGTTCGATATGACCACACTGGTACCACTTGGGAACCACTTGAGACACACAGCTCGCATCCAGGAGGGAAGCATCCCAATAAGTTTCGAAGGGCATGCCAAGAAACCCCGACAAGCATCCAAGACACCTCTGATCCAGTACTTAGGCACGGTGGCGGGATTGATCGGAGGCCATTCGATGCGCTGCCTCTTGTTGATTTATCACAGGGGTGCCTGGCGTGCTCAAGTTCAGGTCGTTTTTGGTTCTTTTTGGAACTTCCCCTGGGGCTTCGGCCGATCCCGCTGGCCACCCGGAAAGACACCTCAACGTCCACAAATAATCTTCCCAAGACGACCGAAGAGGGCCTCCAAGACGGCCAAGATGGCCTCCGAGACGGCCAAGATGGCCCGCAAGAGGCCATCAAGATGACCCCTGACGGACCCAAAAAGGCCCCAAGGCGCATCCAGGACCCACAGAAGGCCCGAAAAGGCCACAATCATTGATCTTCTTTTGTTTTTTCGAAGATGTTGGCTTTTGCTCCATTTCGGGCTTCCGACGGCCCAAGACGGCCCAAGAGGCCATCAAGATCGCCCCAAGACCGCCCAAGAGGCCTTCAATATAGCCCCAGGACGGCCCAAGAGGCTCCCAAGACGGCCGCCAGAGGGCCTCAAGACGGCCCAAGAGGCCTCCACGACGCTCAAGATGGCCTTCAAGACGACTCCGAAACGCCACAGGAAGGCCCCAAGACGGCCCAAGGAGGCTCCCAAGACGGCTTCCGACGGGCCAGGCACGCCATAAGATGGCCAAAGAAGCCTCCACTAGGCCCAAGGAGGCCTCCAAGAGGCATCCAGGAACCTCTCAGGAGGCCCCAAGAATGATCCAAGAAGCTCCCAAGAAGTCGCCTCATCCTTCTCCTCATCCTCAGATCCTCCTTTCCCCTCCATCTCCTCTTCCTCCTCTTCCTCCCCCACGTATTCCCTGAGGGGCTTCCACAACGGCTGGGGATACGCATGGTCCCATAGCGTGGTCAAACTTTACCCAAACGCTTGGCCACGTAGGCGTATCCTAAAAGGCATGGGGCGGCGGTGATTCGCCGCAGGCGTCTTCGATCCGCCGCCCTCTGTTGATTTATCACAAGGGTGCCTGGCATGCTAAGGTTCTGGTGGTTTTTGGTTCCTTTAAAACCTTCCCCTGGGGCTTCGGCCGATCTCGCCGGCCACCCGGAAGGACGCACAGGCACCTCAACGATAATCCTCTCAAGACGGCCCAAGATGGCCTCCAAGACGGCCACGATGGCCTCCAAGTTCGCCCAAGATGGTTCAAGATGACCTCTAAGACGGCCCAAGAGGGTCCAGGATGCCTCCAGGTCAGCCCAATAAGCCACCAAGACAGCCCAAGATGGCTCCTAGATGGCCCAAGATGGCCCAAGACGGCCCGAGAGGCCCGCAAGAGGCCTCTAAGACGGCCCAAGAGTCCTCAAGAAGGTCCTCCAGGAAGGCCCGAAGATGTACAACTCATTGATTTTCATTCAGTTGATTTTGGAATTTGCTTCTTTTCGGCCTTCCGACGGCCCCCAAGATCACCCAAGAGGCCTCCAAGATGTTCCCAGGACGGCCCAAGAGGCTCCTAAGACGGCCCCCCAAGGGCATCAAGACGGCCCAAGAGGCCCCCAAGACTGCCCCTGGAGGGCCCCAAGGCGCCCAAGATGGCCTCCAAGACGACCCTGAAGCACCACAAGAAGGCCCCAAGTCGGTTCAGAGAGGCCCCCAAGACGGCTTCCGACGGCGTCAACGGGCCAGGAACACCCTAAGACGGCCAAAGTGCCCCCTAAGAAGCCCCCAAAGAGGCCCAAGGATGCTCCCAAGAGGCCTCCAGGAAGCTCCCAGGAGGCCCCAATAATGACCCATCCTTCTCCTCATCCTCATTTTCCCTCCCTCTCCTCAGCATCCTCTTCCTCTCCTGCGCGTTCCCCGAAGGGCTTCCAGAACGGCTGGGCGAACGTATGGTCCAATAGCGTGGCCAATCATTGCCCAAACGTTTGGCCACACAGGCGTATGCCAAAAGGCAGGGGGCGGCGGTGATTCGCCGTAGGCGTCTTCGCAATAAAGAAAAGGTCCATTATCCACATGTCGCTTCTTGAAATTCGAACGGAGGCGTTCCCGCCGGCTCGAATTCTGAATTCCTCGCGCCCGCCCGTTCTCCTCCATGTCGCATCATGCACAAAAAAGATCTGGCGCACTGCAGGGAGAGTCGGCACAAGGAGCTGTGGGCGTGCTGGTGGCGATTGCTCCAGTCGCCGCACACAAGGATATCTAGGGAGGAAGGCGGGGGGACAGGGAAGGGACTAACTAAAGCTCGAATTCCAAGAGGGCTGCTGGGCGAGCGCCACTGGCGGGTAACCCGGCGTGGAAAAAGGTGGCACGCGTCCTACTGGAGCGTGATGTCATTTACAGCA